CAGGCCCGCTCACTGTGGCTTGGGGTTCAGAGCTATTTTTATACCAGCAGTAGAGCCGGGGGTGACAACAGTTACCGGAAAGGAGAGCGATCGCTTGTCCTCCCATGTGGCGCGAGATCCGGGGGACCTCTGCGTGGAGGTGGTTAGAGGAGTTGGCTGGAGAAGTTTATAAAATAAATACTTTCATTCCATCAACTTCTTGAGCGGGACCCTTGCCCTGAATTAATTTCAAAGTGAGCTTCGGTTTCTGGCGGGACTTGGAGGTGCCGTGGTGGTGCCGTGGTGGAGGCCAGGTGTCCTGCCCGGAAGTCAGACTTGGGACCGCAGAGCCCGGCTCCACTGCCCGCCTGGGCCGGTGCCATGGTCCATCTCTGGGTCCTCTCCTCTCCTGCCCTCCCTGTCACCCTACAGGCCGGGACAGCATAGGCCACTGTCACCTCCGGGGCCGGCTTGCTGGCGCTTGTCCACAGGAGTGTGTCCCAGGGTCGCCAGGCAGGATGGGACTCTGCCTCCCTGGTGCTGGTGACACAGTACAGGCCGGGCCCCGAGCCTCCGCCATGGGGACCCCAGGCTCCAGTCAGGGCTGAGGTGCAACGGGTGGCGCTGTGTCCCCAGCTTCACTCCCCGGGGCCACGCAGCCTCTGGGTTCTCGGCCCTGCTCCTCCTTGGGTCGAGCCTCAGGCCGGGCTGGATCTGCCAGCACCGGAGAACACTACTGATTCAGACCCCCGTCCCCTTCCGGTTACAGGCCCTGTGCACGTCCCCTGCCCTGCTGCATGCAGATCTGTGCCCTGCCTGTGACCCAGAACGGGCCCATCTCTCCAGGGTCACCCCCACGGCCACTGGGGGTGCTCTGATTCCCAGCCCCAAGGCTGAGCCAGTTCCCTGGTGGCTTTCAGGGGTCGCATCGGGTGGCCGTGGGGACAGGAGGTGTGCGGGGACATCGGGCCTGGCAGCGCTGCTTTCTACACAGTGACCACCTCCCTGCTGGCATCTGTGTCCCACGCAGGTCTGTGGACCCCTAGCTCAGGGCCTCTCTGCCATTTCACTGTCCCAGGGACGGGTCTGAGGTCCCCGCCGCTGCCCCCAGAGATGGCCTGTGTGTCCTGCAGCCATCACTTCCGTCTTAGTGCTGCCTGTGGGGTGGGTGTGTGCTGCTTTGTTGGTGACCATGACTCATGGTAATGCGCATTTCCTGGGAAACCTCACAGTGTTGTTATACAGTAAACTCACTTAACTCTTTGTCTACTTGTTGTTCAAACTGAATCATAGAGGACCTGAAAACCCATTTGTACAGCAGTTGGTGGTGGCCATGCCGGTAATCCTGGGACGGCTGCGGCATTATTAAAATTTTAAAGGGTTTTGAGTCCTTGGTTAAACTTGCAGTGCATGCAGAAACCCGCCTGGCTGTTTCATTTGTTTTTTTGTTTTGTTTTGTTTTGTTTTGGGGGGTGGTACCAGGGATTGAACTCGGGTTCTTGCGCTTGCAAGGCAGGCCACCGAACCACTGAGCTAAATTCCCGGCCTTGGCTGTTTTATTTGATTAACTGGGTTTTGAGGTGATTTTCAAACCTACTTTACCTTCATGGCCAGAGTTACAAAGTCCAAAATTTACCTTTTTTTTTTTTTCATACTGGGGATTAAACTCAGGCCCTTGCGTTTTTGAGACAGGTGGCGGAACCACTAAGCTAAATCCCCAGCCCTCAAAGTCCAAAATAATGAGTTGAAAGCCGGATGTGGTGGTGCACACCTCACTCGGGAGGCTGAGGCAGGAGGATCGCTGTGAGTTCGAGACCAGCCTGGGCTACATAGTGAGTTCCAGGTCAGTCTCAACTACACAGTGAGACCCTGTCTCAAAAAACCAAAAAAAAAAAAAAAAAGAGGCTTAGAGTGACGGAATCCTGCTCAGAACTCAGGACACAAGATACTGAAATAAGTGATTTGATTATTTCTCTAACAGCCCTAAAAAGTTTATGTGTATAAATTGATATCATGTTTTTCTTGGGGAATATGAAACTCCCTCATATTTGGAGTTGGCATATATTTAGGCATCAGCAGTTGCTTGATTTAGGGTACCATACATCTCGGAACATGTCGGGAGAAGTTCAGTCGAATAGCTTCCATTCTTCTGTTCTTTTTCTTGAGACGTCAGTTGTGTTTCGCGATGTAGATCTGGTTGCCCTTGAAGTCATTGTGTAGCCCAGGCTGGCCTCGAATTCATAACGATCCTCCCGCTTTAGCCTCTCGAGTCCAGGGATAACAGGTGTGCGCCACCACACCTGGCAGCTTTTCTTCTTAAACTTAATTTTTTGTTCACATGTAAATTTTTCAAAATTAATTGATGCAATTAAACACCCAAATAGTTAATATTTGAAGGATCTATTTTGGGGGCCGTGTGCTCCCAGCACCCCTGTCCATTGTGAGCACATCGCTGGTGACTGGGGTTTGTTGGATATTTCGAAGTCCTTTCCGTCAGAGGTTCAGTGGCCTGGCCTGGAGCTGCAGGGGCGTAGACTGCAGGGTGTAAAATCCGGGTCCCCCCTCCCCAGGGCGGCCGGAAGCCACCACTCCCCAGCTTCCTGCTGGCCAGAGCTCAGGGCCACGCACAGCGGTGGAGGAGGAAGTCATTACTCCTGCCGGGCCTAGTCTGTGGCTGTTCCTGAGCACAGATGGGACTTCAAAGCTGTGGGGTGAGAGCCAGGCCAGTCCTTTTCTTGGTGGCCTTGAGTTTCACGTTTTTACCTATTTATGTTTGGTTTTTTGAGACAGGAGCTCTCTGAGTAGGCAAGGCTAGCCTTGAACTCTCGGCCATCCCTCCTGCCTCGGCCTCCCGAGTGCTGGGCTGACAGGCGAGTGCCCCCGCGCCCGGCTCTGCGTTGCCTTTCTTGTCTGGGTCTGTGCGGCTCTCGGCTTCACCCACTTGGGGTCTGTCAGGGCTTTGAACCCTTGTGTTCCCCTCCCCTGCACAATGTCACCTTTCTCCACGGCTCCAGAGCCACCTACGAGGCGTGTGGCCCGCTGACACCTGAGTTGGAAATGCTCAGCGCAGAGGCAGCCCAGCCCTTCCACCCACCCGGACGTCCTCTTCCTCCTCACAGGCAGGTCGGTGTCAACTGCGTCCCCCTGCACCACCAGCCCCCTCCGCAGCCTCCCGGGCCACCGAGTCTGGGCTCCCGGGCCCGGGCTGTGGGAAACGCTAATCCTTTAATGATGAGTGCTTCACACACCCAGGACAGAGTCTGGTTCCACAGACAACGAGGAAGCACAGGAGCCCTGGGCCAGCCCGGGCTTGCTTGTGGCGAAGCCGCCAGTTAGTGGCGAGGTGACTTTGCCCAGCCGTGCCTCAGTGTCTGCATCTATAAAATGGGTTTAAGAGGATCTGTCCCCTCGGGACTTCAGAGGGGCTTGTGGAGATTAATGAGTGAGATCCATTAAACGCCCCAGAAGAAAGGCAGCTAACTACCAGGCGCGATTGTAATTAGCCCGGGTGCTTCGTGCCAGGTCTTGGCTTGTTTTAAGAGGGTAACCATGACAACAGGATGGGTGGAAAAATACGTGTTTGAAAGGCAGGGCTATGAATCCTGCAACGGGAAGTATCGTTTATTTTGAGGGTTTCTGCCGTAGCTGGGCGCCCCGGCCCCTTAGCGTTGTCCTGCAGCGACGGGCCCACTCCTGCCATGGTACCTGCAGCGGCGTTGACCACACCATTTTCTCCTTTTGGGCGCACAGGACTTGGCAGAGTGGTCATTTCACGTTACCCACACTCGGTGGACTCGGAGGTCGTTGGCCATGGAGCCAGGCACAGTGGCGCACACCTGTCATCCTAGTACCCAGGAGGCTGAGGCAGGAGGATTGCACGTTCCATCTCAGCCAAGGCTACACAGTGAGACCCTATCTCAAAAATGACTCAGGAGTAAATGTTGATAAAATATTGAGATTTCATTTGAGGACGACGGCACACTGTAGTCTGGGACCAAGCAGGCCCACCAGGCACCCAGAGAGAAGCCACGTCCCCGTGAGCCAGCTGAGCCCACGCAGGAATGCAGGTTCACAGTGTGGGCTATCAGAGACAGTGCTGGGGCCGCGGAGGGGGCAGGAAGGTCACACAGTGGGAGCCGGAAGCCAGCCAGAGATGGTGGCTGTGCTGAGGAAACCAAGCTCTGAGCACTGGGGGCTGGACTGGAAGCCAAGGTTTGCTACTTAGAGTATCTAAAATGGAAATAAGCAACATCCCAGCCCTTTTATGTGTTTTGAGCTAGAATCTCCCTAACTTGCCCAGGCTGAGCTCAAGCTTGCGATCTTCCTGCCTCAGCCTCCCACGGTGCTGGGATGATGGCATGCACCTCCACGTCTGGCTCTGTTTTGCTATTTTAACTGTCAAGGTCAGTCCGGCAAGCAGCCCGGCCTTGCACGCTTCCTCCTGGCCTCTGTCCCCACAGCTGGGCTGGAGTTGGAGTGCGGCCTGCTCCTTCCCCAGAAGTGTGGCCGTGAGGGTGGCCCTTGTGAGTGAGATGGCTCGGAAACGTCTGGGGACAGGAAATGGACTCGACCCCGCCAAGTGCCTGGGACACAGGGCAGGCTGAGAAATGCAGTCATTTCCTCACGGGCTGCACATCCTGCAGGGACCCAAGTGTCACTCCTGGACCTTGCATGGTTTCCGCATATGGAGCGGCCTGTGGCAGTGGGGACACCAGGGTACTCAGGTAGCGTGTCCAGGCCCTCTGCTTCAGCCACATGCCAGCCTGCCCCGCATCCACTGGCCTGCTACTTGGGCTTCATCCTGTAACTGGGAAGGCAGTAAATATGTGTGTCCTCGGTGCCACCCCATTGGCACATGTGTGTACTACCACTCTGGGAGGCTGAGGCAGGAGGATCCCAAGTTCAAACACAGCCTGGGCAACTTAGTGACTTATTGAGACCCTATCTCAAAATAAAATAAAAGGACTGGGAGCCCCAAGCCTGCAGGAAGACCCCTTTGACCTCTCTTTCCCGGCCTGAAGGATGAACACAGCGCCCGGGATTATTGCTTCCTGTGCACGCGGCTGGGCTTCCTTCCTGTGGCTGCCGCCCCTGGAAAAGTGGGGCTCATGTATCCTGAGCAGCTGGGCTGCGAGTCCTCCCTGCTTGTGGTACGGAGGAAAATCCAGGGTAAACATGGAAAGGGGCAGCGCCCAGGGTGGGGGCTCTGCCCGCAGATACCAGGGCCACCCTGTCCTCGCAGCAGAGACCTGCGGGGTCTCAAGGGCAGCATCAGGCGGGGGGCTGTGCGGCCTACAGTGGTGTCACCTAGGCGTGCCCAGGTCCTGGGGGAGCAGCCCTGGAGCTGGGGAGTCACTGCTGCGGGGATTTGGGACCAAGCTTCTGCCTGTGGCTGGAACTTCACGTGATGGCCCAGGTCCCAGCAGCCATCTTGGGCCAGGTGGACAAGGGCTGCAGCTCAAGGAGGAGGCGCCGAAGGCCGGGCACTTAGAGGCTGCAGTGTGAGCTTCTTGGGCAGATGTGGGCACCCCCTTCAGATTTCCCTGACTCTCAAGTGCCATATCTATTCACAGGCATATCCAAGGGGGGCGGTAATGGTTCTGTCTAGGCGACGCTATTTTTACATCTCTGTATTCTTTTGAGCATGGAGCGCTCAGCAAGGGTTCTGGCAAGATCTAAACTTTTGCAATGCTTTTGTTACCCAGGGAATAATGGAATCTATATAATGCCATCTCCAGCAACCCAGGGCCTTCACACTGAGATATATCCTCAGTCCTTTTTTTTTTTTAATTTTGCAACAGGGATCTCCCCAAATTGTCCAGGCTGGACTCAACCTTGGGATACTCCTGCCTCAGCCTTGCAGAGTGCATGAGCCACTGGGTCTGACTGAACCCTTCCACCGTGTAGGTCGCAGGCGGCCTTTCTGGAGGGATGCAGAGCTGGTTTGGACCCCGTCCCTGCCGAGGCCGGGCCTGGCTGACATTGCTGCTTAGCTCTGACCTCTGGGCTGCTGAGGTCAGTGTCTCGGCCAAGGGGCTGTGTGGCAGGTCAGAGGGGACGGGAAAGACTTCCAGGAAGGAAGAGCTGGGGTGTGCCAGGCTTCTGGGGCAGCCGTGATGGTGAGTGACTCAGGGTCCCAGAAACCAGCTGTGCTGAAGGAATACCCAGGGATAGAAACAGAGTGGGACAGAGCTCCCGGGACTCTGGTTCTGGGAATTGAACTCAGGGCCTTCACACTGACCTACATCCCCAGCCTTTAATTGTTTTTTGTTGTTGTTTGTTTTTTCTTAATTTCTTGATAAATCACCAAGTTGCCTAGGCTGGGCTCAAACTTGCGATCCTCCTGCCTCAGCCTCTTGAGTGCTGGGGTCACAGGCGTGTGCCGCCATGGCCACCTCCAATACATGAACAGCGGTGCACGTACTTCCAAGGGCCCCACGTCCTTTGCGGCCCTCCTGCAGGGCTTCTGACAGCCTTTAAGCCAACCACAGGAACTGTCCATTCCTAAGGGAGTGAACTGAGGCTCAAATAACCCCACAGCCACCATGTGCCTGGCCAGAATTTGAATTGGTACCTGAGGCCCTCCCATCTGAACTGAGCCTGCACTGGGCTGACACAGCACAGTGTTGGCCCCAAGTAGAGCAGCACGTCCTGGAGTTACTTCGGACAGTTTTTCTCAGTCATACATTTTGCATTTACTTATTGGCCACATCAGCTGAGTGGTGAGACTCACATGAGGCCAAGCCTTCCTTCTGGGTGCTGACACATGGAAAAGTTGTGTTTGGTGCGTGCTGTGGTACAGGCTGTGGGCTCCCAGGAAAAAGAATGCCCCTGCTGGGTAGAGACAGCATGGGAGCGGGTTTCCTGCAGGAAGCTTGGGTTGGGCTGAGCTCTGAGGCAGGAACAGGGCTTGAGAAGGCTGAGAACGAAGCAAGAACATCCCAGAGGGAGACATGGAGTCAGCTGAGGCTCAGGCAGGCAGGTGTGAGGTGTGTGAGGAAGAGCAGGTCGTCTTGGCCAGAACAGCAAAGGCGGTAATGGGGGCTGGAGGTGAGAGGAACCAGGCGTGGAAAGGACATGTGGAACTTGGTGGATGGGGCAGATGTTTGTTTGCTTTTAAAATCTGACTAATAATGCTCCATCATTCCTTTTGTCAACCTGTTATTTTCACATACTAACTGGAGGGATTTCAAAAATATTTTTTGCTGGGGATTTAGCCCAGCGGTTCGGTGGCCTGCCTTGCAAGTGCAAGGACCCGAGTTCAATCCCTGATACAAAAAAAAAATACACACACGCACACACACACACACACACACACACACACATATACATATGATGTGCTTACAATCTACCAGTTCTCCTCATCAGCATGATTTTTGGGTTAAATGTGATCAAATCATATAGTGAATGTTTAAAGTCTAAAACTTGGTTGCAGTAAAAGACAACATTGCCAAGAAGCTCCCTCAAAATCCTACCCCTCTTCGAACACACTCATCCCATCGCCCTCTCCCTGCTATTCTGTGATTTAATACTGCAAGCCTTTGCCACTGGGCTTGCTGCTCACGTTCCCTCCAGGATGGATCGCTGTACCACAGAGCTACGTCCCCAGCACTTTTTATTTTTTACTTTGAGATGAAGTCTTGCTAAATTGCCCAGCCTGGGCTCAACCTTGCTATCCTCCTGCCTCAGCCTCTCAAGCGTGCTGGGATCACAAGTGTGCACTACCACGCCCAGCACTTAAACACCAATTTGACATCTGGTGATTTAATTCAGCGCTCTGATACCATCCACCTCCTGTTAGTATCAGGCCTCCTAAATTCAAGGGTTCAGTCCACAAAACTGCTCCCATCTCAGATGCCAGCCACGTTCAGGGCCACCGAGCTTCTGCCCAAGTGATGGCAAGTCCAGGAGCCCAGTCCCCTTGGGCCTGTGAGGCCAGCTCCACCTTGGAGGTACATGAGCAAGGCCTGCAGGTTCCAAAGTGCCAGCTGGCGTCTGTCACTGCAGAGTTGGGCTGTGCCACCCTCCTGGCCCCGGATGTGTGCACCAACTCGGGAGCTGCCAGCTTGTCTTCTGGGGTCCACGGAGGCTTCATTACCAGAGCCCAGCACGGTGAATCATTGACCACTGATGGCTCCGTCAACAGTCCTCTCCTCTCCCCTCCCCTCCCGGAGGTCAGGGTAGGGCTGGGGTCACAATGCTCCAGCCAGGACCTGGTCCTTCTGGGGAGCAGCACCCGTCTCAAGGCCATTGAGGGGGCTGAGCCCACCTCCTCCTCCTCCTCCTCTCATCACTGGAGAGAAGCCAGAGGTTCTCAGGAGCTCATGCCAGGGTTTGGGAAGAACGATCAGAAAAATATTATTTTAACCACGAGGACATGCACTTTAGTTATTTCCTATTCTAGGTTATCTTTATTTACAGTGAAGCCTTGCATTGTGAGTAACTTGTTCTGTGAGATGATTAAACATTTCTTTTTCTTTTCTGTTTGTGTTTTTTTTGCTGTCAATTTTTGTTTTGTTTTGTTTTTTTTAGATACTGGGGATCAAACTCAGGTCCTTGCACTTGCAAGGCAGGTAGTGGAACCACTGAGCTAAATCCGTGGCCCTTGCTGATTTTATTTTGGTTGTTTGTTTGTTTGAGACAATGTCTCACTATGTAGCTGAGACTGACCTGGAACTCGCTATGTAGCCCAGGCTGGTCTTGAACTCACAGCGATCCTCCTGCCTCAGCCTCCTGAGTGCTGGGATTACAGGCATCTTGTGATTCAGTAGCATGTGCCGCAGAATATCAGATGATCACACCTGAGTGGGTTGTTCCTCTCCCCGCTCCACCTCTCTCTCTCTCTCTCTCTCTCTCTCTCTCTCTCTCTCTCTCTCTTTTTCTCTCTGTCCCTGTGGAAATGTGGGCATTCATCATCCAATATCAATAAATCATGGAGGAGATATTTGCAGAGGAAAAGAAGTCCCTCTTTTCAGATGAGGTTAGAAGGATGTGTACAATGTGGAAGACAGAGCAAAACTTTGTAGCAAACCCTACCCTAAGAAGGCTGCTGCGGCGTGAGGACAGTGAAATGTCTCGTTTCCATGAAATCCTTAAAGGAGGCAAAAGCAAGCGCCACTGGACAGGTCCCTTGTTAGAGCTGCGCTGGAAGGAAAAGATTCCGTGGAGACAACAGACAGCAGAGATTCTGTTAGCGACGGTGAAAATTGCCCTACACAGTAGCCCTCCTCTCTCGTCTCCCCCACACCAGCCACAAGGTTTTCAAAGGTAAGTGCGGGTCGGTTTGTTTGTTTTTCCATATATTTTGTGTTACAGTATTATCAAAATTTTGTATTAGTATTTTGGGGTTGTGGAACACATCACCCGAGTGTCAGCTGTTTCTTCTGGGGAGATTTGCTTTGATGTACAAGTGCTTTGGATTACAAGTGCGTTTCCAGAACAAACCATGCCCACAAAGCAAGGTTTGGTGGTACTGTGGTTCCCAGGATGGAGCCCAGCCCCTGAACACGTAGTCAAGCACGCTGCCCCTGAGCTGTGTCACCAGCCCATGCTGGGTTGTGCTAAAGCCACTTTTCTGTTTGTTTGTTTTTTTAATAGCTCAAATCACAGATTATGAGGGAGACAGATCTTTTGCGAAAGGGAAGGAGACCAAGAAATGGGGCATGAAGATGTGTGACCAGCCCCCCACGAGGATGTGATCACTACGTACTGCAGACAGGACTCATAAACATTAGAAAAATAAACCCAGAGAAACGGCCCACCTGCCTGCAGCGGCTCCTCTGGCTGGGGTGCACGCGATCTGCGCCTGTCCCCTCCGGCAGGCAGCAGTGGGTGTTCCGGGATCGAGCTCCCTGTGCGTGATTAGTGCCTGTAAATCTTCCTCTCTTAAGAAGCGGAGGCACGGAAGATCCCTGTGGTCTCTGACTCACTGCCGCTCACTTCTCGCATGTGTGGGGCTCCAGAGCCGGGCTTTGTGCAAAGCCCTGGGGTTGGATGACAGCCATGCCCTCACCCAGCCAGAGACGCAGTCACCATCCCAAACAAATGCAAGGTCCCGAGTGCCATCTCCAGTACCAAAAAAAAAAAAAAACCCTAAAATAAAAAAAATGTTAAGGCTGGGGATTTAGCTCAGTGGTTCCGCCGCCTGTCTGACCGTCCCAAAGGACAGAACAGCGCCCATCACGGGGCCCAGGGGTGGCAGGTGTGCGCAGGGGCAGGCAGGCCCTGAAAGGCCAGAGACAGACTTCTGGGAGGAAGTGCTGCCTGCTGCTAAGTTCTGAAGGTCAAGGCAGAGCTATGACCTGTGTGACATCAGCGAGGCCCCAAAGCCACAGGAGAGGGGAGAGTTTGAGGGAGGGAAGTGAGGTCAGCAAGAGGACACACCACAGGTCTCTGTGTGGGGCAAAGAAAGTTTTTTGTGGTTTTGTTTTTTTTGTTTTTTTTTGGGGGGGGGTACCAGGGATTGAACTCAGGTCCTTGCCCTTGCAAGGCAGACCACCGAACCGCTGAGCTAAATCCCTGGCCCTGGTTTTGTTTTTTTGAGATAGAGTCTTCCTATGTAGCCCAGGCTGGCCTTGAACTCACAGAGATACTCCTGTCTCGGCCTCCCGAGTGTAAGGATTACAGCCGTGCACCACCATACATACCCAGCTTATACAAAGAAATCTTTAAACCAAATTTAAAATATGTACGGAGGCAGCATTTGGCCAGACTTTCTCCGTTTCACAGCTGGTTTTGCCTTGGAAGCCCCAAGCACATCCCAAGGCATAGAGGCCGGTGGTGGCAAGGTTCCGCCAGGGGTGGTTTCGGGTGCTGAAACCAGGACAGCCCTGGGCCAGGCCAGCCAGCAGCCCAACTCAGCCCCAGGGACTCAGGCCCACTGGCTCCGACCTCTGTCTGCGAGTTTGGGGTCCAGCTGGGTCACAGCCAAGGCCCAGATGCAGTCGGGTTTCTAGGGGTTCAGATCGCAGAGGCCCTCCCCGAAAATCCCTCC